AGACATGAACGCACCAGGTTATGTTGGCAGACAATTAGCCTGCCTAGCAGTATGCCTTTTAGCATCAATGAGAACACTTGTGGTGTATCTTTTTTGGCTTCTCCTTTTTATGTCCCTCTTTTCTCTTCTCTTCTTTCTCTCTTCTTTCTTCCACTCTGGGTGCATCTACATGAGATGTTTACTACACAGTGGATTAATTAACTGCACAGTAGATGTCTTGGTGTCTACATGTGCATTCCTATTAGGCTGGAGTAAACTAACTTACTCTGCAGCAGGATAGTACTTGTACTTACAAGTACTATCTTGTTGTGGAGTAAAAAACTGTGGAGTAAAAAGCAGCATATATATATATATATATATATATATATATAGTCTCTGCCCTGGCATGCTGGGGCACAAGGGTGCTTCAGTGTGTGGGCTGCCTGCCAGCTAGCTGCACAGTGAAGTACCCTCATGCCCCACCCAGCCCCTCCTTCCACAGCATGTTGAACTAAGGGGAGCAGCCCTGGGTTGGCAGGCTGACCCACCGGGCCCCCTGCCAGCTGGAGCTGCTCCACCTTGGCTCAGCCTGCTGCATTTCCCAGCACACATACAGATGCACACCTGGGAGCAATAAGCTCTGGAGCAATAAGATCTGGAGCTTATTGCTGCACATTGATAGGCATGTGTAGACGTGCCCTCTGAGGATCATAGTGCTGCCCTGCAGCACTATTTGTAGGAAGCCAGCATAAAATATTAAGGATAGAATACTGCTCCGATGGTGACATCTTCTTGTGCTGCATCAGTCTTTGGGCTTCTTGGCAAAAGTGCTGACACTTCAACCCCCAAGAGTCTCAGTATTGGTTGGCCACACATGAGGTACTCATCAAGTTAATAGGGAGGAAATCTGTATCCTTGCTAGCTAAGCAAAGAGAGGCCTAATTCCAGAAGAGCAGTGGATATGATGCATCTTGATTTTAGCCAGGCTTTTGACACTGTCTCCCATGACATTAGTAAGCTACGGGAATACTGCTTAGATGAGCATGCTATCATATGCATACATAAGTGATTGGATGTCATCATGCTTAACAAGTAGTCATCAGTGACTCTGTATCTGTTTGGAAGGATTTATTGAGTGGAGTTCCTGAGAAGTCGGTCCTGGATCTGGTGTAGATTAATAACTTTATTAATGATTTGGAGTGTGGGATTGAACCTTTAGCAGACTTGTAGATGACAGCAAGCTGGGTAGGACACCAAGCTGGAGAATAGGGTTAGGATTCATTATGACTTGATACACTGGAAAAACTGTCTGAAATTAACTAAATCAAGTTCAATATAAACAAGTGCAAAACATGCACTTTGGGTGGAACATTAGCAAATAGAGAATGGGAATAACTGGCTAGGCTGCAGTATTGCAGAAAAGGACATGGAGGTTACAGTGAACCACCAGCTGAATATGAGCCAACAATGTGTTCTTGTTGCAAAACCAACCAATAATACGCTAGGCTGTATTAAGAGTTTCAGTTGCATGTCAGAGGAAGTGATTCTTCCATTTCGTTCAGCACTGGTAAGGCCTCATCTGGGAGTGTGTCCAGTTTTGGGCACAACACTTGAAGAAAAATGTACACAAGCTAGAAGGAGTCCAGCAAAAAGGAACATATGACCTATGAGACGAGGCTGAAAGATCTGGGATTATTTAGTTTGAATAGAAGAAGAGTGAGGGAGAATATGATAGTAGTCTTCAACTCCTGAAGGGTGGTTATACAGAAAATGGTGATAGACTGCTCTCTGTGAATACAGGGATCAGGACACGGAACAATGGTTTTACTTGCAGCAAATAAAATTTAGGTTGGACGTTAGGAAGAACTCCCTCCTCATGATGACTGTTGAACATTGCAACAGGTTGCCTAGAGAGATTGTGGAATCTCCATCCTTGGAAGTTCTTAAGAGCAGGCTAGAAATGCACTGAAATGGGTGAGATGACCTCTTGATGTCCCGTTCCAGCCCTACTTTTCTCTGATTCTTTGAAATTATACATGAATGTAAATAAATACATTTCATCTTTATGTCTGTCAGTGAAAGGGATTTTTGCAACCAAACACTAAGAAATTGCATTTTCATTCATTTAAGCATAGCAGTAAATAAGGAAGAGGGGTATAAGTGCTAATATTTTATCAGGGTATTCCGAAGTAGTGCATCTAGTTCATAATCTGTGTGGATACTCTCATGCTTGTCTCTGATGCTAACTTTCTGGTATTACCAGTATTGCCAACTTGCATGATTTTTGGCGTTGTTCTTAAAGTCTGTGTTTTGGGAATCTGAAAAGCTTAACTTTTCTCTATATAAGAGTAATACCAAAATTGCCAACACTCATGATTTTTGATGTTGCTATCTATCTATCTATCAATCTATCTATCTATCTATCATCTTTAAGAACACCGCCAAAAATCATGAGTGTTGACAATATTGGTATTACTGCTGCTAACTTTCAGGCTGCTAGAATAGCAGATATCTGTTTGTTTCTACCAGAGGTTAAAGGTATAAACATGTGTACCAACTAAAAACATTGGGGAAATCCAGTATTTTGAGGGTTAATACAGCATGTTTTCTAAACCAATCAAAAACATTTCAAAGCCTAGCAAGGGAAGTGAAAGGGAATTGTATACAGCACTCAAGACCTAGACCTGAAACAAGTAGACTAAACTAACAGCTGCAACTAATTGCCATGGAAGGAAATCAAGTTGCTAATGGTGTTGCCATGCAGTAAGCTTGTTGTGACAATTCCTTGTGCTGCACTGTATTCTACCTGCTTTCTGTGGCAGGTTTTATATTTCCAGTGATAGATATATAACAATAGCACACTCTTATTCCTTCTGGGGGCTTGCACATCCTCCACAGCACTTTATGCCTATGCTCATTATTACCAACTCCAGAGAAAAAATAACTCGGCTTTTCTTCTCCGAAGCCCCACAAGTCTCTTTGTGAGTAACGACTGAACATTAAGAAAACTCCCAAATCAGGATTCCCCCAGTGCACTCCTCCTGCATGCTGCCAGGACTCCAGGCTGAACTGTGCTGGCTGTTCAGCGACAGAAGCTCTGAGCCACCTTGATGATGATTACTTGATGACAATTTCACAGGCTGTCAGTGACCGTTGTGCCTGAGTGGGCCTGCTGAAGGGTAATGGGATTTAATTGCTCTTTGGAGGAGAGGAGAGACTTTTTGGCACTGTGGGATGCATTTAAAAAAAGCTTTATGAGGTGAGGTTGGAAAGGGAGAGGGAGTGAAAATGGATATGCATTTATATAGTGGGATGAAGCAGCTTTAGAAAGCAAACAGAATCCCAAATGTATTTTTTTAAATGATTTGTGGATTACAGGGTAAATCCTTGGCTGGTAGAAACTGGCATACTTGGACTGAAGTCATTAGAGGTAGGCTGATTTACACTGCTTAAAATATGGCCCTGTTTTGACTGTGTTCGGGGTTTGTTTTTAACTCTTCCCCTGCTTCTCAGTATCAAATTACCCGGTACAAGACTACTGCACTCGCTTATTGACTCTGGAATGCCAACCTGCCTTCAGTCACAAGCACACTGAATTTGTGCATCTCCCTCCTGTCCCTAGTGCATGTCTACCCAGACTGTAAAATCACCCCCTAATTTAATGTGGCACCACCTGGCATGATTTGGCACTCTTTGCTAAGGAGAGGTAATTGCTGGGCATTGGCAGACCAAAGAGGAAGTGTATCTGACACAGTTGTTGTGGTGAGTGCCTGTCCAAACTGTGCCTGGCACCTGCTCCAGCTTTCAGTACCTCACTTTCACGGACATTCAAATTCTCTCCCACCCTGGGAAATAAGAAGAATCCTTCTTTCCCAGCGAGCATCCTGGCAATGGAGCAAGGTCACTAACTTTTCCTTTTTGTTCTCCTTCCTTGCTCCCTTGACTAGTGAGAAGAGCCCTGGCAAATCCAATTTATTTATTCATTTTTCATTCTTAGCAGTGCATTTGAAACTCTAACTACTACCTTGGGAAATGAACTGCAATCTCCCAGCAATAGAAGCGCCCCCCCCTCAAGGATGCAAGGTAGCACAAGAGGTACTGATTGATTGTGCAAAGTCAGTGCCACAAAAAAGCCCACACTTTCTCCATATTTAAAAGCTCTATAAAGCATGCTGCTTCAGAAACAGTTTAAATGAACACACCACTGATGCTTTCTGCTGGAGGAATGCTTATCCATGTTAAAAATTGTCTTTACTACTTATTTTATGATGCCCCTACACTTTGTCTTATTTATGAAGAGCTGAATTAAGGAAACTTACTACACTGAGTTTAAATATTCCTCTTTAATATGCCCTTTCAAACATGTTGCTTAAATCTGCCTTGATTGCTGGCTTTTTTTTTTTTTTTTTAATTCCACCAAACTAATCTCTTCTTTCTCTAGCTATTTTGGAGATAATGAACATGTAGGAAGGTATTTTATGGTGTATGTAGGAAGAATACTTTCAAAGCAAGGTAAGCTAATGATATGGGTAATTAAACCTCATGCTTCAGAATATAAGATGATTGCCTTCAGGGAATCAAGATGGACTCCTCATCCCCCTTTCCCCTCTTAAATACAGCTTTGTATATGTCCCTAGGGGCAGTAGGGTATGGGGAATGTCACCTTCCTGAGATGTGATAAGAATTAGCCAATGAGAGAAGTAATACCCTGGGCTATGAAAATCTACGTCTAATCCAATATGGCAAATTCCAGGCTTCATAACCCATTCAGAAGACTGGCTGGGTGATCTTAACATACTTGGCTTCATAACCCATTCAGAAGACTGGCTGGGGGATCTTAACATACAGTGATGTCCTGGAATCCTTAGCTTGAATCATAGGAGGAAAAACTCAGCCCTCCATCTTTCCAAAGCAGACCAAGTGATTTCCATGACATATTTATAATGGTCCAACTAGTGGCCAGCATGTATCCTGCAAGGGTTTTAACAAGCCACGCCTGTGCTCCCATGTGGCCATTCTTGCTTTTGTTGCTTCAGCTGTAGCAGTTGCTGGGGGCTTCTACTGCTTGCTCCTGACCCAGGGGCAGGCCAGCATAATGCAGTGTAGCCCATGCTGTTGTGGGAGCTGGCAGCCTGGAGCACCCATATGGCGAGGTGCCACAGAGGAGCCCAGAAGAAACTGAAGGTGAGGTGGGGCGTCCTGTCGTGCAGGGGATCACATACCCACATGTGTTTGGTGTAGTGTGAGGGTGGGGGGCAGGATTGGTGACCCACCTGCATGCACAGTGCAGCAGGGGGAAGGCCCACCTGCACATATGGGCCATGCGGCCTGGGGAGCTACCCTGGCAACTTATGGGCTCTGTTGGTGTGACCCTTCTTGTGTATGGCCCCAGCTGCTTTGAAGTTTGAAACTCTGATTTACAATATAGTGAAATTCTTTGGGGTGAGAAACAGACCTAATTTGAGAAGTTGGCAGCATGGTTAAGGTGAGGTTGATGGTTTGCAGAAATAAAATCCATCCTCGATCCACTGCTGTGACCCTAAAACAAGAAGGACAAACTCATATTTGAATTTTATTCCTAAACGTTGCTGTTAAATTAATAGAAATTCAGAAATCCAATTCTGTTCTAATGATGGTGGATGCATGCCCTTGTGAACTGCATGTATCTTGTTAATGATTGAAGAAGTGATACATCATGGAGGAAATTGGTGGAGTTGTCACTTTACACACATAATATTAACCCATTGATAAGACTCCCCACCCTTATCATACACACACCTGGACCAAATACTGATACCTGTGAGCCCCTGGACACATTCTTGGCTCATGTTGAGATCAGTAAACTAGTATACAGATTATTTTTGCAAAGACTAAGGAAAATCCATCTCAGTTGTGGCGTCCTTATATCAGGTTGGACATTATCTATAGCATCACTTAATTGTATGGAACAAACAGAAAACCAATGAGCTGTAAGAGATAAAACCTGCTTAAGAAAAATGTAGGCAGGTTTATTATATCAGGCGTAATGGTAAGTCTGGAGGAAATTTTAGAAAGAAGAGGCACTTGTATTTGCTGAGGCAGGTGCTTCTACAACAGATCTCAGCTAACTAACATCTCAGTGTGCTTTAGTAACTACCTCACATTCCTAGGAAATGATAAATTAACTCATCTGAGCTGTAGGCTTGCTAGCCTTATGGCTATAAATTGCATGCATGTGCTGCGAAAAGTATAAGATCACACACTGGTTTTAAAATAATGTTGCAACATTAATGCTTATCAAATCTTTCTCTCTCTGGGAATACGTGGTCAGCCAAAGTCTGCTTTCAGACAGACCCATGCATCAATGGGTGCTGAGCACATGTGCCTGACAGCAGACATTTCCCTTTAACTTAAAGAGAAAAGGCCAAGTGAAATATTTCCCACCAAAATGTTTTGCGATAGGTTGACATGTTGTTGTACATAAACTATTGCTGTGATGTTTGTGGGCAACTTAGCATGTTCTAAAAATAAGAGAACAAAACAGAAACACATGCACATGCACACACACACCCCTTGAATTTTGAAATGTTGCCATAGTTTTCCAATTTTGTCATTGTGGATCACATCCTTAGTATAAGTCTGTGCATCCCTTGACTTTAACAGAGCTTTGCCAGTTTTGTACCAGCTGAGGATCTGACTAAGAGCCCATGTCACCACATCAACAGAAGCAGGCATACATGTCCCTTTCCTCCATAAATTGAATTGCAGTGATTTAGTGTTCATCATCTTGCTGGTCTTTAGCAGTATGGAGTGTATTGAAGGGATCTTGGAAAAGTCTAGCTGCTGACTAATGGGTTATAGTGTCTAATACTTTATGCCTAAGCTTGCTGGGATTCGATTTTTATCAATATAAATCAATGTCACCTGCCACTTACAGTTGTTTCCATTGGTAATCATCAAAATGTATAGAAAGGAGATGTAAAAAAAAATCTGGGAAGGGGTAAGGAAATCTGCCTGTGCACTGCTTCTCTGGCAGTGGTTCAGGCAGCCGCTGCAGGAACTAGGGGCAGTGCTGGGAGTGGAGGGTCAGGGCTGTTGGCAGCTGGGAGCCTGGTGCTGCTGACCACTTCCTTGGCCCATGTCCCAGCCAGGGTTTGGGCACCAAACTCCTGGCAAGCCTGGGCTGTGCTCTGCAAGATCAGGGTTCACTGGGAGTTTGGCTCCTGCTCTGATCATGCAAGGGTCAGGCTGGGAAGAAGATCTGGGAATAAAGGGAGAGGTAGCAGCTGCCCAGCCTGAGGTAGGCAGTGGCTCCCTGCCTCCTGCAGCCCCTTAGGGGTTGAGACCCACCTGGCAGGCATCAGTAGAGGGGGAGCCCAACCTTTTGAAGGCCACAGCCTTTCTCCCCTCTGGGCACCCTGAGGGCAGTGGCTGGGCCCCAAAGGCACCCCTGCATGCCATGCATCAATCACACTGCCTCTCCCTGTGTTCCCAGAGGTCGACCAGTGCCCCTGCATGCTCAGGGCAGGGTGAGCAGGGCTTCCCGCAGAGACCAGCTGCTGCCCCTGTGCTGCCCAGAGGGGTGGGATGCTGTGGGGTTGGGCTGCCCTTCTGCTGGTGCTTGCCAGGCTGGGCTCACCCACTAAGGGACCGTGAGGAATAGGGAGCTGCTCCCCACCCTGGGTGGGGTGGCTGCTGCCTCTCCCCATGTGTCCAGAGCTCCAGAGTGCTGCTGCACTCCTCTGGTCCCTACCCACCTGGCTGTTTCCTGATGAATGAACAGAATGATTTAAAGAAGGTATGGCTTTATTGATTTATGGATGTTTACTTTTATGTATTTTAACATGTGATTTTTATAAAGCTTTTAACCGTATACTGTCATTACTAAATTGTCTGCCCCCCACACCCTTAATTTTGTGCAACCCTAAAAATTTAAGTCAATAAAAATTGGTAGAAATACTTAAAAATAAACATCAGTTTTAGCCATTGAAATTATAAAAAATAAAAGAATCAAATTCTGCCAAGCCTATTTATGCCTTATGCCTTCAGCTTTGTCTGAAGAAGCACATAGAACATGTTCCAGTTAGGGTTGGTTGGAAATCTGGTAAGAAGCACCATGAAGAGTAGGAATGTTTCTTGGTATGGGCCTCAGTGTCGCCAGAGTTTTCCAGCTGGATATTTGTGGTTACCAGACATGTCCCATTTTGTCCCTTTGTAACCTATGTGCAGCGTTCAATGTGCTAAACATGCCAGTCATGTTTCTTAATCCTTTAAAGATACCGTATTTCATGGTGTACAAGTTGATGGGCTGTACAAGTTGACCCCATATTTCTGGTAAAAAAAAGTTAGGCTCTTCTTGGATCCAGTGTATATGTCCACCCTGCTGCCACATTTGGAGCCTGTGTGCTGCAGCCACAGCCAGGCAGGGAACAGCAGAACTCAGCATGGGGGTCTGAGAGTGGCTCCTGCCCAGCCAGCACTGCTTCCTGCTGCTGCTGTGCTCTGCGTGCTGCTGGTGGTAGGCCACTCACTGTTGCTGCTCTGCATCCTGGTGCTGCTGGCAGCAGACAGTGGTGCTGTGGTTTCTGTGCCCTTGGGCAGTGGCTCTACCTTGCTGGCCAAGATCTGCCTGCAGGGCAGTCATTGGGCTGTAAGTGTCCCCATGCCAGACTTGATGGGTGTGGGGTTTGGGTGCCCAACCTGGCTTGGGATGTTGGACAGGGGGAAGGGGGGAGGCAAGAGCCTGGCCTGCCCTCAGTCAGCATTGGGGAAGTCCCTAGACCCCAGCATGCCACCTCCCATGCAGCAGGGCACCAGCGTAGAGTCCAGATGAAGTATTGATATGATGTATAAGTCAAGGTGAAAATTTAAGGGTAAATATTTTGGCTTAAAACCTTGACTTATATACCGTGAAATATAGCATATATTTTTCAAAGTCTAATCTCTTAGCTATCATGATTGCACTGAATAGCCAACAGGAGTATCTCAGTGTCTCTTTGAATGTCTGCTTTCATACCAGTTGGAGTTAGAGCTCTTGGGGAAAGGGAAAGGGGACTTTGCTCTGGTTTCACCTGATTATCTTTGCTTGTATAGAAAATACTATAATGGAACTGAGGAAAGAGCCAGAAAGAACAAAGACTAAAGCAGTAGTCAGGTAGGTTAGTGTGTGCAGCTTGCTATTAATGGATTTGTTCTTGTGGGATAAATCTTACATGACAGAGTAGAGACAAAGCATCCCTTATACCTTTGCACTGGCCATGTGTATACTGAGTTGTAGTGCAGGGAGGAAAGCAATCTTTTCCAACCAACTACAGCTCAAATGGTGAGGCACTGGTAGAACTTTGAATCCATCACTCTTTAACAGGCAGGCTAGCATAGCTATGCTAGTGTGTTGTGGGAAGTATGACTTACTAGATCTTCACTTTGTATGAATGGCACTGCCTACAAGGAACAGAGGGAAACCAGGAAAACAGAGTGGGACTCCTCCATGTGCAGCACAGTAATGTGCTGCCTCTTGCTCAGGGCTTTTAGGGATGAATCCTAACTTTGTTCTTTCAACAAATCTGAAACCAGTGGTCAAGCAAGTGAGGAAGCATTAATTTGAGCAATACATTGAGTAGCTAGTGATGCGCCACTTGTCTCTAATCTGCTATGTTACTGCATCTTGGCTTATTGTACTGTAGGGCTGGGCAGAACAAGGCAATTCGCAGAAATTGTCTGTTATCTGGTAACTTTATCATCTGAAAGAAAGGGGCATGGGAGGGTTTGAATGCATGCCTCCCAAGGTGAAAGGTTGGTGTCCAACTACAGCATGCAACCTCGCGCCTCTGCCAAAGAGCATATTTAATGAGAATACCTCTGCTCTGTTTTACTTGAAGATCGCTGTCTGTTCTGTCTGACTGATAATGAAATTGCTCAGCAGGGATAAAAGGAAAAGTGACAAAAACTGAAATCAGAATGTCTCTCTTTCATGCTCTCTGAATGACAGAGAACACCTGACACACACTGTATGTGTGAAGGCTGCCTTTCGTTCAGCACGCTGACAGAGGCATTAAAATGTATTTATAACAGCTGGGGATAGCTTGCCCCGAAGAGTGAACTTAATTCTTAGTCTGCCAGGTACTCTTTTATGAACGACAGTGATTTGTCCCCCGTGTGTTCACTCTCCTTCTCACCCTCTCTCCTTCTCCATGCATTTTATAAACCTGGATTTGACAGTCTAATTTCATATAACTAATAACATTATGTAGTGAAATGAGTTTGAATGTCCATTTATCTCTCCAGCACTGAACTACTTCATAAACACTTCTTTTAACACCACTCTCAGAAGTGCTGTTGGTTCTTTGTCTCTTGATCTCCTTTTAAAAACTATTTTAATGAGATAATAGCTGAATTCTTTCCTCCTTGTGTTAAGCCTGAGTCAAACCCAGTTAGTCTTTCTATAAGCTATACAAGGCATTGAGTATAGTCCTTTTGATAATATCCAGGTATCTCAAAGCACTTAAAATGTTCACTAAGTCAAACAAATGTGTTCTGAAACCAAGAGTTATATTACAAATAGGGATGTCACTGTGGAGTCCCCTGTGGCAGCACAGTAGGGGGCACTACTATGCAGACCCACCCACCTCACTGTTCCAGGCCCAAAACCATGTTTCAGGAGTCTCCCCTGGGGAGCCCATGGCTGGCTATGGCTTCCTGGAGAACTCCTGCAAGCCTGGGGTAACGCTGCCACCACCTGGGCACTGGTCTCTGCTAGGACTCTGCAGCCTGGGGTACACAGACTCTGCGAGCCTTGTGGGTGCTTTGCCCACTGGCGATATTTCTGGATGCTTCTTTTAGCCTGAAGCCTCCCAGGGTAACCTCAGGTACGACTGAGCGAAACAAAAAAAGCCAAGCTCTGCAGGTAGGAGAAAGGCCCCTTCTTAGCTCCTTACACAGTGAAACAGCCAGTCATGCTGTAACCCGATACTTTTATTTTTCAGGGGGAGAGATTGGGGGCGGGGGGTAGAACAAAGGAGTTAGAAAAATACTTTGAGCAAACCACAATAAATTGAGCCTTACATAGATTGGTTTTGGGGGCCTTTTTCATATGTCTGAATTACTTAGTTCTAATATACTAGCTAGTTTCCAGGTTTTTACTCACTGAGTCTCTGAAGACTGTTGCTTGTAACCTGTTCCAAAATGCTGCCAGAGGAAGAGAGAGAGAGAGCTTCCCCTCCCCTCAGGAATTTACCTAGCCCAGTCACCTGGGTGACCAGGTTGAACCACATAGCAAGCAAGTGAAAGAGAGAGCGGTGTAGTTGGACTGAACCAAGCAGGGACAGACAGAGGGAGATTTCTTCAGATCCCCACCCCAACCTCTTCTTGGAATTTGAGACACATTAATTTAAGGATAAATCTGAAGTCTTTTGAAATCAATGGCAGTTCTATTATTGACCATGATACTTAAAACTTCTTTTCCTGCTTTCTCTCATTCTCTCTGAGCTACCATCATGGCATCTTAGACTGTAATTCTTGCAGACTTCAGAGGGGGTTTGTCTTGTCAAGAGAGCATCTCTGGCTCTTGGGGGCTTATCCAACCTCTTTAAAGTTCCTTCTTCACTATGCAATGACTGTGTATTGTGGAAATCCCTAGATAGCTCAGTCAGGGATCATAGAATCATAGAAGTAGGGTCGGAAGGGACCTTGTAGATCTTCAAGTCCGACCCCCTGCCTGGGCAGGAGAGAAACTGGGCTCAAATGACCCCAGCCAGGTAGGCATCAAGCTGCTTCTTAAAGACCCCCAGAGTAGGAGCCAGCACCACTTCCCTTGGAAGTTGGTTCCAGATCCTAGCCGCCCTAACTGTGAACTAGTTCCTACGGATGTCTAATCTGAACCTACTCTCCAACAACTTGTGGCTGTTATTTCTTCTTATCCCGGGGTGCACTGGGGGAAACAAGGTCTCCCCCAAACCCTTCTGGTCCCCCCTAGTGAGTTTATAGATGGTAACAAGGTCCTCCTTCAGCCTTCTCTTATGAAGGCTGAACAGGCTCAGGTCCCGTAGCCTCTCACTGTAGGGTCTGCCCTGCTGTCCCCGGATCATGCAGGTGGCCCCCCTCTGGACCCTCTCAATGTTGTCCACATCCCTCTTGAACTGGGGCGCCCAGAACTGGACACAATATTCCAGCTGTGGCCTGACCAGTGTCGTGTAGAGGGGGAGGATCACCTCCTTGGCCCTACTCGAGATGCACCTGTGGATGCACAATAGGGTCTGGTTAGCCCTGCCGACCGTGACCTCGCATTGTCGGCCTGTGTTCATCTTGGAGTCAATGATGACTCCAAGATCCCTTTCTGCCTCCGTGCTCTCAAGAAGGGAGTTTCCTATCTTATAAGTGTGTTGCCGGTTACTACTGCCCAAGTGCAGCACCCTGCACTTGTCCATATTGAAACACATCCTGTTTTTGTCAGTCCACGCTTGCAACCTATCCAGGTCTTTCTGCTGCCATCATGATCCCATTATGCTAGGTACTCCATACTGCTATATGAAACAAAAAGACAATTGTCTGTAAAGAGGACAGGTTTGTCATAGGCAGACCAAAGGCCTTTTTTCATAATCCTCATCATTTGGCAACTTTATAGTCGGTACTGAAGATATAGATTTCCCATATTTTCAAAACCCTGTGTAATATAATTTTTGTCTGTATATATGTGTGTTCTTATTAGCTTGAGAATGACTAATGTTGATTTTTTGGAATGATATCTTGTGGCAATCCATTCCTCAAGTTACCAATGTTGGGCTGAGAGTATTTCTTTTAGCCAGTTTACTTCTGTGACCGTTCTGTATCACTTAGTGTCCCCTTCTCTGAAGAGAGGGTAAACAGGGGTATTTGATTTGCTGTCTCTATCCCACTCGCTATTTTCTGTCTCTGTTTTAGCTGATCTTATTTTTTGTTTCCATCTCCTCCTGTGGAAGTATCTCCAAGAATCAGGTAATTTTTACTGCCCATCTGCAGGGCCATTTTATTTCTGAGAGAGGCTGACAGCCTGATCTGAGACTAACTCCGTCCTTTGTTATGACAAAGGGCAGGAAATTCAAGTGCCTCAGCATTTGGAGAAATTTTTTAAATGAATGTCTTCTAAAATCCTTTCTTTGAAACCCTACCTTTTCTAGCAATTCCATCATTTTATGTCTCTGAATAATTTGTTTTGGTGAAATCTTTCATCAAATTCTTTTAACCATTCCCAAAAAAGATTTCTGATTTAAAGCTACATCTTTGACAATGTAACCCTGGCCCTCTGGCCTCATCTTTTCTTAGCAGTGGCTCAGCCTTGGGATCTGAAAGTTAGCCAGAGATGTTTCTGACTCTCAGCAAGATAAATCTTCTTAAAAAAAATATCCTTTCCAAAAGTTAGAAGCCTCATGAACTTAATCTGATCAGCAGAGTAGGCCCTGTGGCTGTGATTCATAGGCAGATTAATGCATGGGCTCGTGGGGCCTGGGCCCAGGGGCCTCTGCCAAACCGGGGCTCCCAGATGCCTGGGTTCCCTTGGCAAATGGCAGGTCTCCCCTTGCAGGTGGAAAGCATCCTAGCCTGCAAGAGATCCTGCTGGTGGCTGTCAGGAGTTGGATGGAAGGGACATGGCCAGGAAAACAGTCAGGCTGCTCCCTGCAGGTAAATAAAGAAAGGTGTGGGGGTGGGAAGGGGCATGGGGGGGCCCCAACAGTGAGGGAGGGAGTGGGGCTGGGGGCTCTGCCCAGCCAGTGCGGTGCATGGGACCTGGGGCTGGGGCAGGGAGTGGGACAGAGCCATGGGCAGCTCATCCAGGGATGTAGGAGGGAGAGAGGGAATGGATCCCTGCCACTGTGTGCACCCCTGGGGGTGGGTATCGGGGGCATACGCCCTCCCAGAATTGGGCTGCTTGCTGTGGGCTCGGGGTTCTCCACTTTGCTGCCTTTGCCCTGGAGGCCCCATACCTGCCATCATGTCCTTCCTGCCCAGCATCAATGGGAGTGGTGAGTTGTGCCTCCCACTGCTGGGTGGGTAGGGGGCATCTGGCCAGTATGGGGCTCCCAGGGCAAAGGCAGCAGCAGGGCAGAGAACCCCAAGCCTACAGCAGGCAGCCTGCATCTACCCTTGCCCTGCTTGGCTCTGCTCAGCTCCAGCTATGGCAGGTGGAGGGAGGGTGGGGAGGGCTCTGCTCAGCTCCAGCTATGGCAGGGGGAGGGAGGGGGGGGGGCAGGGAGGAGACGGGGCCATATGCCATCCCACCCCCAGCCAGGCCGGGTCCATTCAGACTCCCCGCAGGGCACAGAGGACCACCTCACCCTTGGCAGAGCCCAGGGCCCCAGTAAATTGCTGCACACTTTGAGACACTTTTTAATTGGACAGGTAAGTGACTGACTGAAAATGATGCAGCGTTTAGCCCAACAGCATAACTGAAATATAGATAAAGCTATGGTTGGGAGTTATGCATCACCCAGCATAAGACAAAGCAAGTCACAAGCTACTGTTAGAATATGCTCTCTGGGGCAAGGGTGTTCAACTGAGATTGGAGCCCTGTGGTGTGAAACACCACAGAAAGTTATAGTTTATAATTGACAAGCAGACCAAAGGTGGAAGGAAGGAAAAATCTATCCCATTATTTATGGTTAGGAAACAGGCACAGAGAATGAATGATTAAGGTCACCTAGGAAATCTATAGCAAGCCTGTGGCTTATCCTAGCTCTCCAGTGTCCAGTCCAATATTGCAACCACACAACCCATCATCTACCAGTATTTTACTTTTCCTGTCCTTGCAATACAAAGGGAGAATAAATCTGAGAATTACATATGATTTATTGGTGACTGGTGCAGGGTGATGGTGGTAGGAGGGTTGTGTGTGTGGAAATAACCCAAAGCAGGTAGTAAATAGACACTCCCTTCCTTCTTTCAAATGTCATACAGTGGTTTTCAGCCCTGGCTAAATAGCACATTTTTAATGCTTATCTAATTTCAAATTATTATGTGTATGTGTATAAGGGGTAATTAAGAGGTGATAAGTGCTAGATTGTGAGTAGGCTTCCTTATATCAGCAGTACCTTTACTAGATGGCTTTAAAATAGCTGGTCATTTGTCCTAAAAAATGGCCAAATGGTGTTGAAATGCTGATAGGAAGATGAAAAAGCTTGCCTTTTTATGAGGTTTGCTGTAATGGTTTTTTTTTTCCTTATGCATTATTATACATTTTAAAGGCTTAATTTGGGCATTTCTGAGGTCCTTGATCACCTACCTGTTTACATCTTGAGAACATATTCAGAGCAAAAGGACTCCTCTTACAACTACTCCTCACTGCTTTTTTCCCCTCCACCTCCTGAGCTTTGTCACCCTCCTTTGGGATCTCTTTTCAAAGGCTCAAGAGTAGAGAAGAGACTTCAGATGCCTGCAAGAACTAGTGCTCCTCTGAGAGCAGCCTTCTTTAAGATCGATACATCTTCCTATGGGGGCAGTGAGTCCTTCAAAGTAAACAAGCAGGGAACAGTAATTCAAATGCTTTTAAACTAAATGAATATACATGAATTAGTCTGTGTGGCTGTGCTAAATAAGGATTATATAAGGGGGTTTAAAATAAACCACAAAAAAGCGCATTCTGCAAAATTCACCAGACAAAAACTAATTTGTGCTAGAGATCTTCTGATGGCAGAGATAATTTTATTTAAAAAGGCTAACAGGATGTTCTCTTACCCATTTTGATAGTTTGATCCCAGCCATCAGAAGCTTTCCTGAGAGGAGGGATTGCGTTGTGCTGAAGTCAGGACATTTTGCAAAACTTGCCGAATATGCATTTTGCAGCCCATTCAACTCCTCTTATTATATAGGTTCAAAGACATATTTATTTGTATGAGGGGGAGGGGGCGAGTAGGCCAGGCACCAAGAGAAAATGGTCCAGATAAAATATTTAACGTAACATGCGGTAAGGGAGCTTGAGATAAGACGGTGTATTTCTTTTTTCCCCCTCTGTGTTAAATACTGACATTCAGTCCAGTCCTTAGAAAGGCACTTATGGCTGGATTTGTAACCTTACAATCCCACCTGAACAGGGAGCAGTGCATTGAGTTAGCGGCCCATGAGCAAAACCAGGACCAGGCTGTGGGTACATCCACACTGCAGATTGCAGGTAGTTGAGGTTGTCTAGCCCTGACAGTACAGAGCTCCACACAAGCTAAGACACAGAGAGAAGGTATAGTTCATCCTTTCTTCTTTCCCTGGGGAGAAAGTAAGCACCACCAACCCTTTTGCTAGTATAGAGTGGGGTGTCCTCTGCCTGCTACACTGCAGAAGCAGACTCAAATTTTGCCCACCCCAATCTGCAGTAGGCAATCCTGGGGGAAAGTCTCTTCTTGAAAATGCTTTTTGTGGGAAGTGTGTTCAGGAACAGCAGGGGAATCTCTCTGTCCCACAACTCCCTGTCAATGTACCTATGAGGGCATACGGCTGAGCTGCTAGTAAATTTATTCCTAGATAAATAGAAATATTATTACACCGTTACATCATGACTAATTCATGGGGAGAAGGTTATTAACTTACACAACAGCAAAAATGCCTGCTTGATGATTGCAGTTCAAGTTTTCATCTAATTTAAAGACTGAACTCTTTTCAAGACTGTGGGATTCCAGAATGAGTTTGCTGATCAAAATAATTTAGGTCAAGGCCGGGTCTGTTTTGCAATGCTCCAGGGATAGATAAATTGTTTCTCTTTTGCAGACAATAGAAAGAATGACATTCTGAAAGCATAGGTATAATAAGTAACTGAATACTGGGTCTTAAAAAGGTTAGCACCAGGCGGCCTCAGTGGTAAGATAGACTACCTTTGTTGCTTGTAACATTTCAGTCACAGAACTGCTGCTGTTTCTACAACAGCCCTTTAGCCTGTGGCTTTCAGATTCCAGTGTAAACAGACAAACTACCATCCTTTACAAATCACCAGTCTTCACATTCTCCAAGATGATGTAAAACTGTGATGCGTTTTAATTTCTGTGCTCTGCACCTTTTATTTTTCTCAGACTTCTCTGGGTATGCAGCAGTCACTTTATTCTTGTAGCTTTTGTAGACTATGGGAGAGGAAGCAGGCAAATACTTGGTTCTCTGAAGAAGCTTTACTTTTGTTCTCTTTCATTTTTCTCTATCAGATATAAAACCCTGGGCCATAACATATAGGAGGATGGAAATCTCTGCTCCATTTACAGTAGAGAAGGTATAAAGTTGGTTTCATTTGTGTTAAGGATAATAATGCTGCTTATCCATGATTCCACCTACTGGGTTTTTCCTGTTTGTTTGGGTCCTATTTACAGTATGTCTCTGCTATATCGGTGATAATTTTGTATTACTTTCTGTGAAAGGAAGTAGGAATTCCACTGCGTCTGTCATAGAGTTGAGTGGGTCACTCTGCGGTACAAGGAGTTTGATAATGAAATCCAAGTTCTTCAGCAAGAAGTTAGAGTAGGGGAATTCTGGAGGCCAGAAGCGTATCTTTGATATGATGTTTTGCTCTGAATGCCCTGCTAGGGATTACTATGCCTTGTGCTGAATCTGACAGACTGGATTAGACCAGACTGACACTTGTGGAGCAGAAGGCAGGCCTCCCCATGAACTCAGCAGACTGCTGGGAGCACAGAGCTGGCTGGGCTGTGACTGATGATGATATTGCTGAGCTGATTTGCTGTACCCTGGCCTATCAAGCTAGTGGTAGCAGAGTTCACAGTACAGAACAGGACCAGGAAGCTGCACATCAGAACAGGACAGTTCCTTCTGGAGGGAAAAGATATCTGATGACAACAAAGTCCAAATCGCCCTAACCTGGGGTTTTGGGACCTGTTGGACTTGTGGCGGGACTAAGAATTATTAAACTCCTTAACCCAGACAATTATTGCCTGGAATTGTCCTGATGTTCTAGTTTCTTGTCAGTAAAATTTAAGGCTTTCATCTTCCTTTCAATTTGATTCTCCCTCCTCCTTTTCCCTAAACAGAGCTATGTAATGATCTATGTTCAAAAGCACTCTTCACAAGCACCAGCAAAGCTTATTTTGTTGATTTTATTTTAGTTCCCCAGAGACAGAAATAGGAGTGTGGGTCCGACTGGGGACTTTAAATTGGGTATTTTTTCTTCAGAAAAAGAAAGGACCCCCCCTCCCCCCACCAGAGACTAAAACTGGCACTTGTGGCTGCTGTTAGCTGAAGGCTTATGCAAAAATTAATCACTTTAGGCTAAAATTACCTGCTTTGGCCTTGTGTATGGAAATAGAGCACCTGACTACATGAACAACGCGTGCCCCCAGTGGCTTGGGGGGCATGGCGACAGCATGAGCATGGCGCTGGCAAGCTGGGAGCTCCTGCAGACGCTGCCGGTGTTGTTGGCGGTGGGGAGGAGGGGAGTGGGTGGTGAGCGCTGACCAGGGGTTGGTGACCACCCACAGATGCTGCCAGTGGTGTCAGTGGTGGGCGTGGTGAGCTGTTGGCAGCTCGTTTTTGTAGGGGGTGCACCGCCATACTCAGGGGGTGCACATGCACCTGTGTGCACCCCCTATGCATTGCCAGTGCCTGGCTGGTATAGACAGTATAGATTAATCACTTAGGGTGCATAGAGGCATTCAGGGCCCTGCTCTAACTCATTACACTTTACATAAAGCAGCAGGAGT